TTTCTTCTCTATGCCTAGTGGGTCGATTTTGGGCAGGTTTCAAACCCGTGACCACGGGCTACCAAGACAAACCTATCAACCACCACTCCATCCTAGACTTTGATATTTTTTGTACTGATAACAACCTCCTAAATATTTAGCAAGGACATGTGTGGAGCTTAAATGGGCTGTCGATATTGCGGCAAATTGCACAAGCTATTTTTTAGCATATTTTAGAAACATAATTATGTACCAATATTTATGCGTTTCAATATTGTATAAATAAAATCATTGAAATATCTACCCATATATTATATATAAAATATTTAGTTAATATGGATATTTAATTGTATATTAGATACAATATTTAATGAATACAAAAGAATATACACTCATAAATATTTAAATTTAAAATGATGAATACAAACATTTACTTAATATCTATAACTATTCACATATGTATAGTTTTTACTCATGACTTATTTGGGGAAAAAATAATATTTTGCATATTATACAGTTAAAACTTCAAATTATGAATATTTTTAAATATACAAAAATTGAACTATATGAATATGCTGATAATTATTGAAATGTTTGTATAATTAAAATAATAGTTTTAAATGTAATCTTCAAAGAAATTGTATCATTTTAAACTATATAGACATTTTTTACAATTCATAAATATTATTGCAAATATAGGAATGTGTTTTGAAGTATACATTTTAAATGTCCATATTGACTAAATATTTATATAATAGATGGGTGTATATTTAAATGTTTTTATTTACTAATCATGATTTGTTTGTATAAAATTTATAGCTCACAAATATTTAAGCATAATTTTTGTTACGTACATTTTATAAATATCTTTAAAAAGAAGCTCGCGCAAAATGGGATGCAATATCTGTGCCCCATTTAAACTTCAGATGTGTACCTGTTTAATAAATATAGTGTAGTTATCCTTTGTATATGTTGTAACTTGAACAGGGTAATGGTTTAACAGGTTTTCTTTGTAGCCTTGGCCGCTTGTTCGAATCTTGGCGTCCACTTTTTCCTTTTAGTTTTGACACGCAGGACCGCTGGTTATATATGAAGAATGTCTGACAGCAGGACCCACGCGTTTAGTCAGCATATATTCCATATACCAACGCGATAAGCACTGTATTTGCACGCTCTAGTCAAGTTTTTGCACCACTTTGATGTACACCGCAATTTCTAGCATCAAAGTGATCGTTTGTGCCAAGTTCTAAGACCATCACTGTAATTGACTCTTTCCGAAAGGCGACTAATCTGCGCCGGCGAACCGGCGCGATCAATTCGGCCGAACACAACACGGCCATTTGATTAGATTGCATTTAACCGTCGGATATGGAATTGTTTTCTTCCCAATTAAACGCATTCAACAAACAGCAGAGGAGAAAACAAAGCAACGCCGCCATCAACACTAGCCATGGATGACCGATGTAACAAAACCTTGAAGAACCACCGCCGGTCTCGCCGCCGGTCACCGCCCTCGCCGCCTGCGTTTCTCACCAGCTTCATGCATGCAACAACGTGCACTCGTGGTTGCAGGCTTCCAGCTCCGGGGGAGATGGCCACAGCTCTTGGGGTGATGGCCGCATCTCCGGTGGCGCCGGCCGTCGGCCGCAGCACCTGTCGTTGTGTTCGCGTTGTACCTCGCCGTCTCTCCACATGAGGCTCTTGCTGGTTCCAACATAAAACGATACTGGTTGTAGCAAAAAAGTTTATCGCTTCCAGCAAAAAAGCTTACCGCTGCAGCCCGCCGTCGTCATTGTAGCAAAAATGTTAACCGGATGTAGCTTTTACGGTTGCCGATTGCAGCAAAAAAATGACGTGGTTGTAGCAAACACAAAAAAAACGCCGGCCGGCTGCTGTGTATGGTGGTAACAAACCCTGTAGCCGGTGGTAGCAAAAAACTTTATAGTTTACAGCAAAAAAACGTTGTCACTCGTTGTCGAGGTTGCATCATCTTCACGAATTATGTCGCAAAAAAACGTTGTCGCCGGTAGTAGCAAATGAAGCCGCCGGTAGTAGCAAAATAAAACACTGGTTCCAACAAACAAAAAAATCAGCGACAAAAACCTCTGGTTTGTTCCAACAAAAAACTTGTCGGTTGTAACATCCGTCACCGCCGGATGTAGCATCTCCCAGGGCCGGTTGCAACACTCCATAAAAAAAGAGATGTTGTGTATGGGCGCATCCATGGCGACTGCTGCATCGTCCTTGCAGTGGTGCGTGCGCAGGCAGAAACGGGAGGAAGAGGAGGCAGCGAAAATCGTTCGAGTCGTCGCTCCACATGTCGCGGTTGCCACATGGGGAGTCCAAAATCCATCACAAGCAACATGCGCCTCGCCCTCCTCCTGCACGCGCAGGAGAGAGAAGAAAAAGAAACAGGAGAAAGAAGAAAGGAAACGGGAGAAAAAAACAATTGATGACGGCTTGACGGGCCCAGGCAATTAGTCAAACGAGGGGCACGCGAGGCAGCAGGATACAGCGCAATTGAACGAAGCGCGAGTCCGGCTGAGGACTCGGCCGGACTGCCAGTTGGAAACGTTTCCCTTTCCGAAAAGAAACACAACAGTACTACCTCAACTGGAAATGCTCCTATGAACTACTCCCTCCGGTTGGTTCTTCTTCTGGCTGGTCTGCTCCCCCGCATGGCACGCTTCTTCTTTCTTCTGATGGGGCGGTGGACTTGGTGCGGGGCTCGTCGTCAGTTGGAGTTGTGGTGCAGGACTTTTCGGGCCAGGTTGTGGCAGCGGCTTCTGAACCTCTTCCTGGCGTCTCTTCTCCGGAACTGGCCGAGGCTTTGGCCCTGCGACGGGCTGCTCTACTGGATCGCCGGGAGGATTTTTCAGCATGTGATCTTCCACTCTGACTGTCTTTCGGTGATTCAAAGGTTGAAATCTTCAGTCCGAGACCGGTCCATGGTGGGATCAAATATCTCTGACATCAAGGCGATTTGTGATGCTCTGTCGTCTGTGTCATTCATGCATGTTCGTCGGCACCGTGTTGTCTTAGCTCATGTCCTTGCTAGGTCTAGTTTGAGCTCTTTGAGCCTTTGTGTTTATAATTCTGCTCCGGATTGCATCCGGGAGACTCTCTGTAATATGTTTGCTTGATTAATAAAGGCCGATGTTCTTTCAAAAAAAAAACTGGAAATGCTCCTATGAACTACTCCCTTCGTCTCATAATATAAGAGTATTTTTGACTCTACCCTAGTATAAAAAATGTTCTTATATTATGGGATAGAGAGAGTAACTGATATTGCTCCTTAAGCTTTCATAATAAATCAGACAAGATAAGATAACATGTCGATTGATGACCAGTCTATTTGATGGAAATGTATCCATTTTTTTTGGAAAAAGAAATATAATGGTGCTAGCTCAAGCGGAAATGCGCCTATGGACTAACTGATACTACTACTCATCAAGCCTCCACGATAAATCAGATGAGATAAGAATAAGATAAGACAGTCGGCTGATGACTGATCTATTTGATGGAAATGAAGGCCGTGAGGAGCATAGTAGCCTGGTCGTCCGGATGAACAGACTTGGGCACGATGAACTGGGCCGACTCGTCGTCTTCCAGGAACCCATCGGCGAGATCCGCGAAAGGCACATCGAATGCAGATTCTTGGTAATGGCGATTGACCGAGTAGCGGAGCTCGAGTACCACCGTCTTGGACGCGGCCGCTGCCGAGGACGACGACGACGACGCGGTGGCAGCGGGCGGAGGCCGCACGCAGACCGCGGCGATCCCGCGACCAAACGGCTGGCGCACAACGTTTAGCAGGAGCAAGTGCTGGTCGGCGCCGTCGCGGACCGTCGTGGAGACGACGTTGAAGCCGTCAAGGAGGTCGATGCCGAAGCTCTTCCCGGCGCGGTCCTCGGCGGTCAGCGGCAGCTCGTGCAGGGTGATGAAGTGGTCCAGGAGCTCTGCCATTGGGCCGACGAAACAGCATGTGCCCAAAGGGCAGCGCGCGCACGGCGCGTTGGCGCACGTCATTCGGTGCTGGTGCAGGTCGTAGTAGGCCAGCATGGCGCCGCAGCCGTGAGCGGCGTGGGGGCACGACACGCGGACGGTGTCCAGGATGTTCTCCACGGCGCGGCACCGGCGGTAGCCTGGGCCGCGGCACGCCGAGCACACCGGCAGCCCCAGAGCGCACTGAAAGCGTGTACATGTAATCGAACATGTTACTCCTAGTCCTATCTATGGCTGAGGGAATGAGAGGACGTACGGATGTGTGCGGGGAGAGCGGTGAGGTGCGTACCTGGAAGATTGGCGGCTCCAGAGGGAGGCTGCAGACGCCGCAGTGGAAGGCACTGGCATCCCCCACCGTCACTCTCGCGAGCACCGCGTGCTCCGACGGCCACCGAACCGCGGAGCGGCGCCTTTCCGGCGACCAGCTGCTCCAAGTGTCCATGACCATGAACCTCGAATGCATTTTAATACGGATACATTTTACTATTTATTGATTTTTCAAATAAAGGGATTCAGAATGTCAACCGTGATCTTTTTACATGCATGGATTCCATGGTTCCCTGTCTTCTTTAGCAAATGAGCAGAAACTCTAGAGTAGCTACTCAAAGATTCATGACCACAATAGTCGCATTTCCATGTAGTGTTGCCCCCTCCAGGTGATTTCTCTATGATTTGAACATGCTCCACAATGGTGCCCTTAGATTTGTAGATACAGTAGGAGGTTCAGCAGGAGGAGCCATCTGGAGGAGATGAGAAAAATGAGATCTTCACAGATTAGAGGAGAAAGAAGAGGGGATGAGCTTGGCTGGGCAGGAAAAAGGGGAAGAGGCGTTGGTGAGGACTAGCAGCTCGTCGCCGGCTAGCCGCTACTGCCGCCGGCCCTGGGTGAGTAGCTGCTAGGTACGCAGCCACCAGCCGCCGCCTGGTGTGAGCTCGGGAGGGAGGAAAGAAAACTGGGAGGGAAAGGAAGGGGGCATTGGGGTACTAGGGTTGCTGTGTGCCTCTTAACTGGGCTGAGTGGTCTCTTAGATGGGCTGGGCTGTATCCAAAACGAACTGAAAAAGTATCCTTCAAGTATCTGAATTGTTTTGAATCGTTTATTCATGGACACTCCTTGGATACGTATCGGGGGCGTATCGGAGGAGTATCGGTATCGGATACGGTATCCGATACCGATTCGCTAGTTGCCTGAAGTATCGGTGCATTCGAGCCATGAACTCAGCCTCCATCAACGCCCTTTCATAAGTGTCCACGAACTCATCCTCCATCGACGCCCTGGTGTCCGAATCCCCAGTGCCGATGGACGGCGCCTCCATCGACAACCTGGTGTCCCAGGTGCCCGTGCCCCAGCCATCGGAAGTTTGGCCTGGCGTGCCACGAGTCCCGTGCCGCGGCCGCGTTCTCCCAGGGGTCCTGTGCCTCCGCTCCAGCCGCCTACTGCGACCTGCCCCCCTAGGTTCGCCGCCATACCTCGCCGGTCGTCGCCTAGTTAGAGCTTACCTCCCTCTTTGTCCTGGTTGTGCTTTTTGGACTGGCAGGCGAGCGCTCGTGGTTTCCTGGATATAAGAAGCTGTTTGCCAGCCTCTTCGGCTTCGCTGCACAGTTAACGCTTTTCTTTTCTTTTTTGCTGAGAGCTGCATTGTTTTTTTAAACACAGTACAGATGCAAGCACTTGTATAAACACGCATACACTCACCCCTATAAACGCATACACGCACACCCTATCCCTATGAGCACCTCTGAGAGGTCTCTTTCAACTGAAAGCGTATCGCCGGAATTCCTGAAATAAATTTAGGATAAATGCGAGCACCAGGATTTGAACCCTGGTAGGTTGAGGATACCACTGTCCACCTAAACCATCTCAATCAGAGGTTGACTCGCTGAGGGCTGCATCGTTAATGCTAATGCTAATCGGGTTGCAAAATAATGCCGTGTACTAACTGGTTTTTTTTCACATATCAAAATGTTTGAGCTTGTGTATTCACCGGTAGAGATTGTTAATGCTAATAATGCGAGGAAGCCACCGGAGTACTAGTTCTTGTTGAGCCAATTGAAAGGTGTACCGTTGCGCAGCGCAGCACACCACAAGAGGTCGACACGTAGAGGCTGTGGCGTTCCTGAAGTAGCACTAGTAGCCAGCATTGCCGAAAACGTATACTGCCTCCTCTTTACACGAAATGAGCATCTGACACCAAACGCACAGTGCAGGAGGGTTCACGTGGCACGCTCTCCATCTCCACTTCAGCGCAAGGGTGCAAGGAGAAGTGGGCAGCACGCAGTGCGAATGTGCAAGTAAAAGATAAGAGATAAAAGCGGATGGATTCAAAACAAAACAGCAAACAAGTTTGAAAAAAAAATCCTGTTTTCTACATGTTCATATGAATGTCCAAAGCGTGCTTTTTTTTCACACATCAAAATGTTCGAGCGCCTTATTTAGTTCTAGGATAGGGGGGAGATCGAGGGGAACGGACTTGCGACCTAGCGATCTAGTGCCGCCGCCGCCAACACCGCCGTGATCCCTCCTCACACTCCCTCCTCGCCGCCTCTGCAAGCTACCGACGGCTAAGCCGTGTGGGCACAAGGGATGGGGGTGTCGGGGCGGTTATGCGCTGGTCGTGGAGGTGATCCTAGTTTATAAATGCAAAAAAAAAGAGTCATTTAGCTGCTTTTTTCACATATAAAAAATGTTTGCGCTTTTTCCCATAAGGCCTCATTTAGTTATAGGACAGGGAGAGATCAAGGGGAAAATACGAAGGAGAACATGGGTACCAGCGAAATCTATATGCAAAAAATAATTAGTAATTCAAAAGAAGTTTAAAAAATTCCGAATCTTTTTTGGTATCAAACATGATCAAATATTGTAGTCGTATGAAAAGATTCGTCGGAGAATGACTTTCATTGTATCCTGGGTCGAAGATTCGGCAAAAAACGATATATACAAGTACTATACACATTATATTGTCGTCATAAACTTGTCTTCTTTTTGCCCTGAAGTCGATAGGAAACATTTCTTATCTAATTTTTTTATAGAAGTACAATACCAGATCATGTTTGATTCCAAAAAAGATTTGGAACTTTTTGAACTTTTTTTGAATTACTAATTTTTCTTTGGCGCATATAGGGTGCGCGTGTACCCGAGAGCACCAAGTTCCCGTCCAAGATCGAGGTGAAGGGACTCGCAAAACACTCGCGACCTAGCGATCTAGCGCCGCCGATGCCAACACCTATCGCTCCTCCTATGCCCCTTCACCCTTCCTACCCCTCCCTCCTTGCCACCTTCAGAGGCTACCGGCGGTTAAACCGTGTGGCCGCCAGGGATGGGGGTGTCGGGGCGGTTTTGCACGGGTCGTGGTGGTGGACCCACAACATTCCGAGCTGCATGCAGCGCCTATCTCAACATGCTTGAGAATATCAGACCTCGCCTTGGGTATCTTTTTCTTTTTTACGAGTGGCCGATGTTTTCTCAACACCATACGTAGGAGAGTTCATATCTACCAGGTAATAATGCATAGGCTTTTGACCGTTACTGATTATGTCCGTCATGATAGTCTCCTAAAATGATCATGATCACTAATGATGTATGCAAAAGAAAAAAATCAATGGCATATGCATCCCTAAATTTATTTACCTTTTTGCTAATTTACAGTCGAGTGATTTAGAATTGGTTTTCATTCAAATTTTTGGCCGTTTGATCTTGTGCCAAGATCTGCGCTGTGTGCTGGTTTTTTCGGACGTTTTTTTTTCTCTGTGTTACCGGGTGCGCTTTCGTTTCCCAGCCAGCCGGTTACCGCCTATCCCCTAGCTCTCTGTCTTTTATTTATTTATTATTCTTGTCCTTCCTCATTTGTTGGCGAGAGTTAAAGTTGAGAGAGGGAGGCGATTCTTGGCGATTTCCTCGTCATCTGATGCCAATATCCTCCTTCTCCTCTTCTTTAGATTGATTTCCGCTTCTGTGCCGTGTAGTTTCAGTTGGTTATCCTGGTCTTCTCCCTTTCCCCGTTGAATTTCTTCTAGATCTTGTGATTTGATTCGATTTCCCTTGTGTTTGATGTAGATGTAGGTGTATGTGTACACTTAGAGTGGATTTTGGCGATTTTTTTTGCAATTACAGTGATAGGCGGATGGATGTAGCAGTGGATCCGATTCCCCTATTGATTTTCTTTCTGCTAGCCTGGGCGTTTGATTCCGCCGAAGTTTTTTGTTGTTAGATGCAGGGATGTGCGTTTTTAGATAGTAGTTGCATCTAATTCTGCTAGCCCCGGCCGGACATCGTCCGACTCACCCCGCCGCCTGCCACGTGTCGCCGCCCCGTTGGCCGCCGCCGCCCCACATCCCTGCCGGCCCGGGAGCCCAAGGCCGGCCACCGAGGCCCGCGCCGCCTCGCCCCGTCGCCCGGTTGCGCCGCCGCCCGCGCCTCCTCCTCCCTCGTCGCCGGCCGCCGGCGCC